TCTAAGGAATAGTTTTTTGTTTTAATAGTGCAGCTGCAATAGTTCTCGAAAAAAATAATTTTGAAAAATACCCGCTCTAACGCCTATTTCATTATTCATCTCCAGAACGCAGCGAGATGAGAGGCTGAATTTGTATCAATGGTAATTTTGTATCTCGCCAATGTTACCACACAAGTTATTTTCAAAATATCTTTCTGGGGCCGCTGACCATATCTTATCGTGCTAGACCCTTTGGGAAATGGTTCATTTTGTATCCCTGATCAAAAGTCTGAATGGAGTCAAAGCTTGAAATGCCTATCTTTAGGCAGCACGGCCGTTTTCAAGGGGCAAAAACGGCAAAAATTCAATTTTTTTATGTACTGTGTTTAATTCTTGAATAGTCTCCGGAGTCGCTATATTATTGAGATACTTTGCATGTGTATGTGTTTTTTTGAGTCTATGTGTGAGTTTGTATTTTTGTATGTGTGCGTGTGCGAGGGAGTACATGTGTGCACGAATGAATATTTGTTGTATTTATTAACTACAATATATACACATGCAAAGTATCTCAATAATATAGCAACTCAGGAGACCATTCAAGAATTAAACACAGTAGGTATATAAAAAAAATTAATTTTTCCCGCGTTGGCCCAGTAAAACGGCCGTACTGCCTAAAGATGGGCATTTCAAGCTTTAACCCCATTGAGGCTTTTGATCAGGGATACAAAATGAACCATTTCCCAAATTTTCAGTCAACTTCATCGGAAGACTGATTTCCATATAAAACGCGAGGGGTCCTTTTAGTTGACGTTATCTATCCCATTAAAATAGTTTCCTTAAACTAAGGAATTTTGAGATTTGGCAACATCGTACTGGGACATGTCGGAGATGACCCTCCCCCGAAGTTTCAACCCCCAATTCCTTCAAATAACAAATATACCCTTTTTCGAGCAATTCTACCAATGGTCATGCAAACAAATCACCTATACCTACCTCTCTCCATGTGACACCTACGGTGTCGAGATTATCGAGCTTCGCGTTGATAAAAGATTGGCCAAAAAGGACTGAATTTATGTGCGGGTTCACTAAATATTAAGCTGCAGTCAATGGCAGACAAAAAGCTAAATAGCAGTGACTTATGGCCTGGATTTCAGTAACAGCTGTTATAACTGGCTTTTTAGAAAACCACAGAGCCGAAAATGAGGAAAATTTGGATAACAATTTTGACACGCTTACAAAGGGATGGGGAATGTTGCTCAAGATCCATTTTTTTTTTCATTCGCATTTGGATATTTCCCCTTGGAGCCGTTAGCGATGAACAGAGTGAGTGGTTTCACCAGGATGTTAGGGGTACTCGATTTTTCATTAAATTTGTAACGCAGTGCAATCTGTCTTGACCAAGATTAATTATTAACTTTAAACTGGAACTATCGATCGACTCGATTCCTTTTAAGAAAAATGGTATTACGATTTATTGATTTGCAAGTTTGCGTTAATTCTTTTTATGCGTTATGATTCTGTTCCTGCTCATATACATACTATTTTAGAGCAAAAAGGATTCTGATGTGTAAATTTACCGGGATTCTGCAACCCAAATTGATCTAAGCCGAAGGAATCCTCTCCATGCGAATGGAGTTTGGGATATTGAAAAGTAAAGTTGAAGTTATTTGTTTTACGATTACCACGAGCATATTTAAAGGAACAGTCATTCAACGTTAAAAAAGTTAGTAGCAAGTGATGTTCGTGGTGAATCGATCAAAACTAAATTAAATTTGCAAATAATAATTATTGGATTAATAATAATTACAAGATATAAAATTGGTACAAATAAATCTCAACAAATAAAGTTTTAATTCTTTTAATCTAATGGACAATGTTCGCAGGTTATTGTTATAAAAATCATACTTAGAATTAAAATCGGTATTTCTGGTCGACTGTTGGAGAGGAATCTATGTAAAACGTGCGGCAACTAAAAAATGACATAGTAATTTAACAAATAGAGATAACGCTAGTCAATATTTGACCGAGATAAGTACCTATTCTAATTTGTTTATTATCTTCACCGTCCGTGTTCATTTACACGACTTTTGCAATTGAAGCTGTTTGTTTTTCAATCACCGTCGAATATATTGAAGATAATTTATTTATGTCAGAAATTAAAATGTTGAGCTAATGCCGTAATAAAATATTTAAAGAGCAGATAGAAAGTCAATTCTCATTCTGTTCACTGATTAATATAATTATTCTATAAACTTGGGCTTCAGTATAGTTTGTTTTGAAGTTCATTAAAACTTTTGTCTAAAAAGTTTAAAGATGGAATATTTAATTTATGCATGAGAACCTATCTCCGGAGACAAATGAATGCCTTTTTTTAATACGATAGGAACTTGGAAAGTGACTTCCGAAGTTTTATGCTTTTTTTCTTTTTGATTAGCCATCGATAAAATGTCTACTAAGATTCGCGGGTTTTGAATTTATTGAAAAAACGAAACTGGCTGTCGTCAGTCGCGTCTTCATCCATTTCGTAAATTTTTTAATAAAACATCGAGAGAATAAATTATCGAATTATGCAAATTAGATCTACAAGGCTCTAAAGAAACAGGCAATCAATAAATAAATTGAAGAGGGACTGATATTCTACAATACACCAGTAAAGGAAAAAGGCGTGTTAAAGCCAAGACATGGAAATTCTAGTTCCATTCAAGGAAAATTTCAGTTCTCCTTTTTTATTTTACAAAATCAAGAAGAATAATTAAAACCGAACTTGTAAGCTTTGTTTCTAGCTTCGTAGAGATAATTTTAACCATAAAGACGTAACTACATATACGCGTATGTGAATTTTAAAGTTTATAAACCCGATTAAATTTGAACTGGCGCAGTCGCCATTTCTTGAATTGCACCATAAATTAGTGAGTTTCTAGGGCAGCGGTGGCCAACCTTTTTTGTAAGCTGTGCCACTTTTGACTCCAAAAATTTTGCGTGTGTCACTCATTTTTGTTAGAGAAATATTTTATGTTTAATTTTATAATACCAATAAAAAAAACTTACTTCTTACTTACTACTTTATTATCGATATAAATATAAAATAAAATCTCTACTCTGGGTAATATAAAAAAAAACAATAACCTAACATTTTCGAAAAATAAAAAGGAACAGTCAAACCTATTTAGGATTTTTTTAATGTGGTTTTTGTTCCTGAATTTTTTTTAGAATGGTATCTATATCAGGACAAATTTTTGAAGATGCAAGGAAGATTAGGTGTTTCGATTAGGTTCATAATCGAAAATGTCTGTTCGCATACGTACGTTGATCCAAACCGGCAACAGTACCTAAGTGCCAAATCATGCAACTTTGGAAAATCTGCACCAGGTACAAATTTCCAAAACTCAATATAATCTTGATTGCTTGCCGCTGTTAAAATAATTTCCTTGTATTTGCTTTTTTAAAACTTATTTCTGGAAAACCTGGCGTGCCACACTAGAGGGTCAGGCGTGCCACCTGTGGCACGCGTGCCGCGGGTTGGCCACCACTGTTCTAGAGTAACATTCTTCTTTTGTAACCATGATGTCAACATAGAACGCCTTTTGACAAGTAAATTTTGAAAGCAACGCTTGTTTCATTGTTTAGGCTGTATTATTTATCTCGTGTATGAGCTTGCCGTTTATTTACGGAAAGAAAATTTTGAAATCTGGAATGTAGTCCGATCGATAAAAACACTCCCGACCGCATTGTTGTTGGGAGGCAGGTGTCCTTGAGATGTTGACGTTCTTGTGTTGCTCACTGGGATTCCTAGTCCAACCAAAACGAACGTACACATGCTGAAACCAGGAAAGATTATTTTCAACATCATCGTACAGGTATGACCCTGACACATTATTTTTGCTCACACCTCCGGTGACACGTCATTCCATTTTGGACATGGCAAGACTATGTACCCTTGAAAACAACCCTAACATTAAAGGAGGCGGTATCTACATTTTACGAGGCATCAGCATGAACAGCCCAAATCAGTAGAGCAGGGGAAGCTATTTTCATAGCATTGCATGGCGCCAGAAACATCTTTTTCATATCTCAATTTTTTCAAGACATTCGACTTGTCTGCCCCCTTAACGTTTTGCTTCTATGTTTTCTCCCTCATTACCTATTTGGCACCCAAAGTAGACATTATCTGAGATCGCTAACATAACTATTTCTGAACTTTGGAAGGAATTACTTATATTGATATTCATTCCAATGCATTTACAAAGTGCATAGGTCAAAGATGTTTGATGTCGTGTGGTTCGTATTCTACGGAAGTTTGAACATCAACCATAGTTTCCAAAATATCGTAAAGGTTGTGAGTGTTAATAATAATATTAATACTCACCCTATAATTACTCCGAAGAGTAACCCCTTAGGTCCCTCTCAGGGATCTGTGCGGGAAGGAGTGGCTATTATTATTATTTGCCTAGGCGCACTGGGAGCGACTTAAGATTATTTCGGTAACGCATTTGCTATACAGTTCTGAGGAAACCCAGAAAACTCAGAACATTACCAAATCTGATTTTGGTAATGTTACCCATTATTGCCGAACGCATTGTTCTTGGGAGGCTGGTTTCTTTGAGATGTTAACGTTCTTGTGTCAATTCGGACTTCAATTGGGAACACATGGTATCAGCAATTCAACAAGATGTCTTCAAAGGGAATTTCATCTTGCCACCACTGCCACTGACCCTTGATGAAGCCGACTATCGTTGCCGCAGAATATTTCTGCAACTTCAGTGCTGGCTGGGAAACAATTTGGACATATTTACGACAATTAGTACACCAGTTGCAGCAGTGACTGGGGTTCCGCTTCTTTTTTATTGGCACAGGAGTGAGACCAAAGTTATCTTGTTTGCAACTTGCAGAAATATATATTTTTTTTAAATCACACCACAGAAATTGACATTCTCCCTCTAAGAGTCATTACGACTGTGCAGAAAGAGAATACACATGGAAAAGACGTAGGAACACAACCAAACCCTGTGACAGGTGCCAATTGCCACAGGCGGGATTCGAACCCGCGCGGATAATAGCTCTCGGAGTAATCGCCATCTTCTCACCTATCGCTTTACCAGCTCAGTCGGTAAATCGCCGCGGCTAATTTTCTGTAGTAATTGTTGTCGGCTGCATGAAGTGTTGATGGCAGTCGTGGCAAGCTGAACTTCCCCTTTGAAGCTGAATTGCTGATACCTCGTCTTGTCAAGTGATTGCTCTGTGGCTGCACCATACAAGGCTATCAAAATAGCTTCCCCTGCTCTGCTGACTTGAGCTGTTCATGCTGATGCCTCAGTCCAAAAAGGGACTGACGCTGTGTCATAACCGCAGAAGACGTGAGCAAAAAGAATGTAGTCAGGGTCATACTTGTATGATGCTGTTGAAAAGAAGGTGCCAGGTTTGCGCCTCTATTTGGTTGCAGCCTGTGTACGTTCGTTTTGGTTGGACTAGAAGTCCCAGTCGACACAAGAACGTCAACATCTCAAGGAAACCAGCCTCACAAGAACAACGCGTTCGGCAATAATGGGTAACATTACCGCTCACAAACTTTACTCTACGATATTTTGGAAAATATCGTCGATGTTCAAACTTCCGTAAGACTACGAACCACACCACATCAAACAACTTTGATCAATGCATTTTGTAAATCCATTGAAATGAATTACAATATAAGTAATTCCTTCCAAAGTTCAGAAATAGTTATGTTAACGATCTCAGATAATGTCTACTTTGGGTGCCAAACGGGGTAATGAGAGAGATAACAAAGAAGTAAAACGTTAAGAGGGCAGAAAAGTCGAATATCTTGAAAAATAATTGAGGTATGAAAAATATGTTTTCAAATTTTGAATCACTTTTACACACATTTGCAGGCAAAGATATGCATACATATATACCTATATTGGCAAAGAGGAACATCCTTCTGCGAGAGAAGAAGTAATATTTCTACAGAAAATTTCCAGTTTTACGGGAAAACCACCAGATTTACCGTATTCGCTCTGCGATCGCCTCGGTTAAAATGCTTCTCGTCTGCGATCGATATGCATGTCCAACTTTCCCCATTAATTATTGTTACAGCGCGATACGTTTTGGTTATAATTTATTAAACTCTCTCCTCGCCCAAAACATGTAGTTAGTAATTTCTCATCGTTTGTATCCCATTAAGCGGTAAATGCTCTACAGGCGCTCATTAGGATTTTACGCATAGGTGTAGAAGTTAGCAGTTTCAGCATCTAATACAGAATGATTTAACCTTTAGAGGACGGGAAATCCAGTATACTGGCTCAAAGAAAAGGTTCCTCGCCTTTGTGCAAACATTATTATTTTGGGGTTTTATGGTTGCCAATTACGAATCTGGTCAGATTTTAAAAATTCGAGATGGCACATCTAATATGGCGGACAAATATGAGGAACAAAAATGTTAAATTTGCTAGAATTTGGACTGAAAACACGGGTTTTTGAGGTCACTGATTACGAATCTGAAATCAGATTTTAAAAACTCTAGATGGCGGATCCAATATGGGGACAAAAATCTCAAATTTGCTCGAAATCGGACTGAAAACTGTATACATGAGTTTTTGAGATCGCTGATTATGAAACCAAAATTTTATTTAAAAAATTCACGATGGTGGATCCAATATGGCGACGAAAAGTTTTTAATTCAACCAATTGTGGAATAAAATCTCTATCCATTTGTTATTTTTTTATTACGATTTAGGAATTGCTAATGACGAATATATCAGATTTTTGGAATTCAATATGACTGATTCAGTTGGTTGGATTCACAAACTAGTGCAATCAAAATACCAGTCGGTAAAAATAATATTTTTGAGCTGTTTACTTGGGAAGAGCATTGTTTTCATTCTTTTCATCACAAAAACAGCAAAAAACTAGCAGCTTTATAATTTTGTGAAGCAGTGTATTTGTGTTCTTGAAGCATCAAATTGACCATTTACTAAGTCGAAAAAGTACATACCAACCGTAAAAGCCGAAACAGTGTTTTTTAATCGTACATAAGGAATATCTGATGTTTCGTAGTCCGTTCAAATTTCACAACAAAATTGTTTAGGATCTACTCTCGATTCATTTCTAGGGTATCTCGGAACAACATTTATTGGTTTTGTGAGTAATGTATACCTCGACAATAATGTTAAACTCCCTCAATGCGTGTTAGCATTTGTAATTGCGATATTGCGTTCCGAATGGCCCAAAACTATTCACGATCTGAAATTAAGCTTCGTGGAACTGCATTTGTAGATTGAAATTGAAGCACACGAGTACTTCATCGACCTATTTAAAACGGAATTAAGGACCTTTGGAGAAAAGCATGGGGCATACGAAAAAAGGTTAAACGTATATTTTCTGTTTACTTATTTTTTTGAAACTAAATGCAAAATTAGATATATTCTTAAAATTATATCTTCTTCGTTCTTTCTTCGCATAAGTTTCCGTTTTCTTGTAAACAAAATAAAAACGGTGAATTTTTGGTCAAGGACAAATTCTTTTTAATGTTTTTTTTTTATCAATAATGAGCCTACAAAGTATAAAGTCAATAGTTGCAGTAATTTTCGAGATATGTTTGCCACTGATTTGAAAATGCTTTGGAGGAAAAATGTTTTTTTTTTAGTTTCTGGGCAATCGCTTAGGGTCCGGCATGCAGGGAGGGCAGGGAAATTTTTGAAGAGCGTGTCATATGGGGTGGGGTGAACCTAATGTTTTCCGAATAGGGGTGAACCTAATGTTTTCCGAATAGATAGTATCTATATACTCGTTGGCAGATGCCATTTCAGTTATCATGGAGCCGTGGACTACAGTTCATCGCGTGTTTGTTTACAACACCTTCATTGTAACGGGCCGTTCTGTGATTCAAAGACAGCGACGGTTTCGAATTCATTAGCCAAAACTCTATTATGAAAACGTGCGTGAAAACGGACGCACAGTTACTGCAGATTGCTACCTAGTGATTTTTTCTGCCGCAATTGAGAAGACGACGCATTAACCTCAATACTGTATAGTGTCAACAAGACGGCAATAAGCAACTTGCCGTACATCCAGAGCAGCAATGGCTTTTTGAAGGGAAAATTTCCCAGGACGTTTTGATTTCGTTGCGTGGTGATGTGGAGTGGCCTCCACGGTCCCCAGACCTGTCACCTTGTGACTATTTTTTATGGGGTTATCCTAAATCTCGAGTATACATAGACAAACCATGTACACTTGATCCCTTTCAGAAACAATCATCATCCGCGAGGATTTCGAACATTGTGTGCATTTACCGGGAAATCTTAACGCCAAAAGGAAGAAACTACTGTACCAGAAGGGCCTTTTAACATCAACAAAAAATTAGTTTGGTAGAAATAGATGACTAGTTCCGAAGATAATGATCCCAAACATCGTAGTAAACTTTGTGTGTAGTGAAAGCTGAAAATGGCATCAACACGTTAGCCTGGCCTTCACAATAACCAAATGCCAACCCAATAGAAAATGTGTTGCCCATAATGAAGCAACAGCTTCGTGGAACACGTGTACTATCACTGGGATCCGGAAAGTTTGCCATAACGCAGGGTAAACTACGTTCAACTATCCAGAGCTCCCACAACGGGACCGGCGTACTACGCCGTGTGACCAGTCACGGTCAGTGGCCTACGTATGCACGGGCAAGAAATACACGCGTATATAATTTACAAGGCGCTTAAAAAATACGGTTTATACTTTAATTATCATAGAGTTGTATAGTGCCGATCCTGCGTTATGACACACATTTCCGGACCCTAATTATCACAGACCTAGTTATCACGACAAGTACATATGGTAAGATATGGTGGTTGTTTCCAAAGGAATATGCCAAAAGTTTGGTGAAAAGTTTGCCTCAACGTTGCCAGGCAATGTTAAATAATAATTGCCACTGGACAGTTTATTTGGTAAGCGCTTCAAAGAGATTATAACACAGTTCTTGTACGAAAAAACTTAACGGTGCCATGGATTGGACAATATCGGCGACACGTTTTTATGTGACAGACAGGGTGATCGAAATTCGATGTCTCAGCTCTATTATAAGAAAAGGGAAAAACGATAGAAAAAAATCTGAAGAGGTTCTGAAATGGGATTGGGTAAGGTCCATTTTAAACCGAATTTGCATATTTTTCCGTATTTGGAAACTGAAGTAAAAACATCATCGAATTTTTTTTCCCATAAACATACATATATTTTGACATATTTATAAAGAGCTAATTTTTCTGAACAAATTTTGTA